TTTGATATTCTGTTCACTGAAGTGAATGCCGGTGGAATTAATGAAAAAAAAAAAAAAAAAAAAAAAAAAAAAAAAAAAAATAATAATAAAATAAAAACGTAAACAATTAAAAATGAAATGTGTGTATACAAATGATTACGGAGGGTGCTGAAAGTCAAAACCTCCAAAAGCCACATTCTTGATACTTTCACCGTACATATAAAAAAAATTCATTCTCCTGACTTCATTTGGGGTGCCTGTAAGGGTGGGGGGAGGCGGTTAACAAAGCTAAAAAATACTAAATATATTTAAACTTAACTCGATTTTAAACATTTTAATGATATCTATTATATTTTTAATATATATATTTCAGACCATATAAAATTAAAAAAACCCAGATTAATATTTTTTAGGTTCTTTCATATGCGCAAGTGCATATTTGAATTGGTTTGAATTGTTTGTGCGTTATAGCTTTATTATATTTTCTTTTACGAGAATGTACATTATATTTTTAATTCAAACACATAATCTTTTAAAAATACCAGGCGTGTGACAACATTATGTTAAAATGTTACATTTTACCCGAACGTAAAATTATTAGTATATTTTTTTTTACCGGCATACAACACAATAATATGATGTTATACGTCTTCTTTCTTTTTTTTTTTAAATTTTAATTATTTAAAAAAAATATTTTAAATCTTCGGAACGATGAATATTTTATGTTTCTTTCGAAGAAAATATATATACATATATTATATTTTTAAAAGTTCAGGAGGGGGACAATTTGAGATATATATATTTTTTTTACTTTATACTCGTATATAAGAAACATCTACTTTAAACTTTTATAAAAGTTTTTTGCCGGTTGAAATCGTTTCTCTCTCGTGGAATATGAGTGGTGTTCACGAGAAAACTAAGTGAATGCGGAGTTCGCGGATAAAACTTCGCAGGCGAACACGTGGCAGCAGCGTTAACTCGGTATAAACCGTTTGCAGTCGGAATATGTTTGTGGGTCAAGAATATAATAGTCCTAAGAACTTTGAATTGTTTAATAGGAAAAATAAAAAAATATATATGTATAAACGAAACGTCATCTTTTTACACTACCGATGATATGACGAGTATATA